AAACACCAGCGGCAGAAGAAGAAGTCACATCAGGCACGGCAATCGTAACGACTGAAGCAGCAGAGACAGAGACCGCACAGTCAACCTGGCCCTCTGTCTCACACCCTACCAGCTGGAACACAACTCAAGGCTGGGACACCGTCGACGTGCGTTGGGTCATGGAAAACACCGCTCTTGGAGAAGCCGTAGCCGAAACTGGATGGGGGAGTTTCGCCGAACAGCCTGCAGCAGAAGAAACCGAACCGGTGGAGTTACCAGAAATACCTGAGGAGGCGCCAGAAGCTAGACAGGGGGAACTGCTGACGGAGTACGGACCTCACCTGCTTCCTATTACAACTGACGGTAGGGACTACTTCCGCCTGGAGACAAGGGGAGTGGTGATCGGAGACACCCCCTTCGAAGAAGGAGAAATCGCACTGTTCGACGATCGACACCCGCGAACCACGCCTCCGCCTCCTGAAGGACCACTAGAACTGCCAGTTACGATCGACACCATCACCATCGGTGAGACCAGCGGGACGTACCACGGCGCAACAATCCAAGCAGCAGCAGTCCACGTCACCGTCCCCGACGAACCTGCGGACGAAACCAGAAGGGCAACAGCAGAAGAGATATTAGCACGGGAGAAGGAGCTATACACCCGTACCAAGGGATATCGGGCCGACGGCGACATCTGGCATCAACGCATGGGTCACCCGTCAGTCGAGGTACTCAACAACTGCATAAACGCAAAAGTTCTTGCGGAAGACGCACTACTGCTGCCTGACGGAAAACTGCTGAAGCCAAGAACCGACCTACCCAATTGCTCGGTCTGTCCGACAGCCGCGCTACGTCACACGCCCTTCGCCGAGAAAATCCCTGGAGCTGAACGATACAAGCCGCTGGAGAAAGTTTACAGCGACTTCTTGGTTCTTACGGCAAAAGGAGTCGGCGGGGAACAGTACACACTCACCTTCATCGATGCCAGCACACGCTTCGTCTGGGCCGTAAACATCAGCGACCGTTACCTCGCCTACCAGTGCTTCGAAGTCTAGCTCAGCATGGCGGAAAACCAGAGCGACAACCACAAGGTCAAAGCCTTCCTGACTGACGGGGCCCTGGAATACATGTCGGAGGACTTCAAAACCCTCTGCAAACAGAAAGGCATTAAGAGGATGATCTCGCTACCCTACGCTCACGAGCAGCAGGGATTGGCCGAGCGAACCAACAGGAGCCTCGCGACAAAAATGCGAGCTCTCATGAAGCAGTCAGCTGTGCCAACCAAATATTGGCCCTATGCCATGGCGCATGCAGTTCGACTGCACAACATACTCTCCTCCAAAGCCCTGCCCAACAACAGTTCACCCTTCAAGGAGTGGACTGGAAAACACCCCGACACTCGCATGCTGCGGGTCTTCGGATGTATGGTACAGTACCGACCCCACACTGCCCGAACCGGAAAATTTGAAGACCGTGCCCGCTGGGGCATTCACCTCGGAATCGAATCCGAATACCACGCCTGGACAATTCTGGACTTCGCCACCCACCAGCTCACGCGTTCACGTGACTGCATCTTCTACGAAAGACTGACCCTGCCACTGTACCGCCAGCACCGCACTGCACAAAACGCACCAGACAACATTTTTCAGGGACAGCACAGCTACGCAAATGACGAGGACGACGTCGACGTGGCAGGAAAACAACTGGACGAGGCTGCAACAGATAACACACCCTTTGTACCCGTTACGGAGCAACTCAAGACACCCACCTTCTTCCCGACGAACACTGATTCAGGTGAAGCAGCCCAAGCCCAACATGACTACGCAAGTGCGGAAATGCACTCACCCATAAACGAAGACACGGCTCACAACTCTTCTCGTGATACCATTCGCGACATTCCTGGCGACGACGACGACGACGTGGTCGAAGTAACCAATGCAGCCGAATCCAACCTTACTGGTCTTCGCATCCTCGGCCTCGCCGTCGCCGTGCGGGGTAACCATCAACCGGTGGAGCCCACCACTGTTCGCCAAGCCCTCAGTGGGCCCGATGCCGAAAAATGGAGAGCCGCCATGGCCGCAGAAGTCGCTGCCCTTCAGCGACGAGGAACCTGGAAGCTGGTCCCACGACGACACGTAAAGGGAAGAAAAATTCTCACGGGGAAATGGGTATTCAGAATCAAAACTCCGGCGGACGGAACCATCGACAAATACAAGGCGCGGTGGGTCGTCCGCGGGTTCGAGCAAACACAGTTCGTCGACTACGACCAGACCTTCGCACCTGTCGGCCGTCACACGTCTGTGCGCATTCTTCTCTGCATCGCCGCCATCAAGCAGCGCCCTCTGCGCAAAATCGACGTCTCCAACGCCTTCCTCTACGCGATCGTCGACGCTATCATCTACGTCGAACAGCCGCACGCATTCGAGGAAGACGGCGACACCATCTGCCTTCTCCAGAAGTCACTTTACGGCATCAAGCAGGCGCCGCGCCTGTGGCTTCCAACAGCTTCCCCATGACCAAGGGATGTACCGCCTCGAATCCCGCGGCCACTTCATCCTCCTCGTCGCCTACGTGGACGACCTTCTCTACACCGGGGACAACTCTGAGCTGCTCGATCGCTTCGAGCGCGAGATTCAGGAGAAGCTGGAGGTAACCATCGACCACGACGTCACCCAATTCCTCGGCCTCAACGTCACACAGAGCGCCGACTCTATTCACCTCTCTGCTGCGAAGTACGCCGAGAGCCTCGCCAAGAAATTCGGCATCCCTCCAATCGGCATCACCACCCCATTTCACACTCCTCCTCCCAACCACACGCCGGACACCACCCCGCTCTCCCCAGCAGACCACCGCCTCTACCAGCAACAGCTCGGTTGCCTCCTGTTCGCCGCCGTCACATGCCGCCCGGATCTCTCCTACATTGCCAGCCAGCTCGCCCAGTACCTGCGCCGACCTGAAGGGGAGAACATGGCAGACCTACGTCGAGCCCTACAGTACTTCATCTCCACGCCCGACGTCGGCCTCACCTACAAGGCAAATCTAACGGCCAACCTGCAGCTTACCGGCTTCGTCGACGCAGATCACGCGGGGGACGCAGAAAACAGAAGGTCCCGCACAGGCTTCATTTTCAAGCTTGAGCCTGCAGGAACCATCTCCTGGAACTCGCAGAAACAGGAGCTCATCGCCCTCTCGTCAGCAGAAGCAGAGTTCATCGCAGCAAGCGCAGCAGTTCGCGAAGGACTCTACCTCACGGAACTCCTACAGGAAACGAAAACGGCGATGAACGGGTCCTTCAAGTTACTCTGCGACAACCAGAGTGCGATCAAAATCGCACACAAGCCCGGCTTCGTCAACCGCACCAAGCACATCGCCCTGCGATATTTCTTCGTGAAAGACGAGATCGAGAAGGGCAAGGTCCAGCTCACCTACTGCCCAACCGACAAGATGGCAGCAGATTTTCTGACTAAGAAGCTGCCACGTCAGAAGTTTCAGTATTGCTCAGACCTGTGCGGAGTCGCTCGCAAAAGGCCACATGGCACACCTCCAGGAATGAAGGGGAGTGTTGGAGTATGAAGGGAATACACTTAAGCATTCCCGAAGGTGCAGCTACATCGCACCAGTCACTATCGAAGCAGCGCGAGCAGTAAAAGTCGGATCAGCCTATACCAAAGGCAGGAAGGTCAACAGGCGCAAAAGTCAACTGTCGCGACTGTTGACCATCTGGACCGACGATTGACTCACCATCGAGGAATGTCAACAGGCGTAACCGCACGCACGGTTACAAGCAGCGACTCGGTAACAAGAAAGGAAATGCAACAGTCAGAGTCACTGCTGTACTGCCTGTAAAACAGTTATAATAAGGGAATGTACCCCTTAGAGTACATGGCTAGTTAGGACTATTTATTTGCTTGTATTCTATCCTTCAAAACAACTTTGTCATCTACATTCACTATGATTAAGGTTCCTACCAAGACTTCCGCTACCAATTCTCCTAGAGGCACTTCCTATCCTATCCAAGATCCTCACTCTAACACAGGGGTCTATAATTATGGGGGGTCCATTACCCGGGTAAATACGGTACCGTATGATATGTCGCATGGGTATAATAAAAGGTGCAAACAAAGGGTACACCAAATATGACCGATAGCGGAAACCGAATTGATAACAAGATAAGAATGGCACATATTTCTATTATTCAATTATCAACAATGAAACCACTAGCAACAGATTGGAGCTTGTATCATCAGGAACAAACTTACACTAAAGAGTATTATTTTGCTGACTTGGGATTGGGTGAACAGTTCTCACCCAGTTGGCTAGGGTTTCGTTGCCCTTCTCCCATTGTGCTCTCGAGGCTTTCACTTATGCTTTTACCCTCACAAGAAGTCAACTACCTCAGGTAATACTAACAAATGCTACCTTGGTGGTGCCTAAGCCGCGCGCGCCTAGAGCGCTTCCCCTTGACCTTCGTGCATTAGGCAATATAGCATAGAGCACTCGCCCTAGGGCGCTCTCGCCTTAGGCGCTGGAACCTAGGCCTATGGCGCCTAGGACGTTAGCGCCAAGGGCGTTGGCCTTAGGGCGCTAGCGCCTTAGGCGTCAATGGCGCGTAAGGCGCTGGCGCCGTTGGGCGCTGGCACCGTTCGCGGTGGCGCCATGGGAGCGGGCGCCGTGGGCGCTGGCGCCTTTGGGTACTGGCGCTGGCGCCTTTGCGCGCTGGTGCTTGCGCCTTTGGGCGCTGGCGCCTTTGCGCGCTGGCGCTGGCGCCTTTGGGCGCTGGCGCTGGTGCCTTTGGGCGCTGGCGCCTTTGCGCGCTGGTGCTTGCGCCTTTGAGCGCTTGCACTGGCGCCTTTGGGCGCTGGTGCTGGCGCATTTTTGGCGCCTTTGCGCACTGGCGCTTGCGCCTTTGGGCTCTGGTGCTGGCGCATGTGGGCGCTGGTGGTGCTGGCGCATTTTGGCGCACATGCTGATAACTTTCACCCTCCCATCCCCCGCCCGTTCCCCCCACACCCTCCCTCCAGGGATTTAACATGCGAAGCCTCCTCTTATCGGTGGGGCAGCAGCAACGCGGTGTGCGAGCATTGTTGGCACAGGTGAGTGAGGAATTTTAGAGGAATGGAAGATAAGAGACGGGGAGAGAGAGAGGAAGAGGGAGAGTGAGGAGCGAGGGAAGAGAAAGAGCGATAGAGAGCGAAGGAGAGTGCAGGGGTTGGTCGAGTTTTAGAGAAATACGGAGGCTACGAGATATAACCACTTTTTGTAGTTTTTGAAAGTTTTCGTATTGTCACCTATCGCGCTGGCTTCTAGGATGCTTGGCTGGGGCATGCTTTTGTAGTGCGATTGCGGCTTGGGTGTGTCGGCATTTGGCGCCCACGCGCCGATGCTGGCGCGTGGGCACTTGCGCATATCGCGGTGGCGCCTAGGGTGCTTGCATAGGACGCTAGCATCTGACGCTCTTACGACAAGGGCCTATCGCTTGGGCGATACACTTACGCTTGTGCGCTGGTGCCTAGGCCGCTTGCGTGCCTAGGCCCCCGTCCTTAACTTGCTGAAAATTTTGGCGCTGTCGCTCAGGGTGCTGACGCTTGGGTGCTTTCCTTGTGCCTAACGTGCCGCCCTTTAGGCCGCTCAAGTGCTGGCACCTAGTGCAATAGCAAAGGGCGCTGGTGCCTGGGTAGTTGCCGCCAACATCCTTTGGTTGATGCACCTGCGCTTTGTGAGCTAGTGCCACTTGGTTGTTGGTGCTTACTGCATTTATCTTGGGATTTGAAACCTATAAGCGACCAATGAATTCCTTGTGTCGCCCTGGCTACGACCTGACATATATCCATTCACACCAACCGACTCTCGAACTACTAGTTTCTTTTCCCTTTGCAAACGCAAATGTCTCTCCCCACTAATGCACCGCAGGTGTCGCAGCTGTCTCAATACCTCCTCCTCCTCCTCCTCCTCCTCTACCTCATTCTCCCACTCGCTGCTCTCCCCCTTCCCGACGCCACTGTAACGTCTACCTTTCGCGTGAACCCAACCGCCTTGTCGTCCTTCCCCCATTACAAGCACGTTCCCGCCGGCGCTCCTCCCGCCCACTCGCTCCTCCAGCAGCTCCGTGCTGCGCCACATGGGTTCCAGCGGCTCCAAAATGCGGACCACGTGTCAGCACCCGCTCGCATGCAGACTGCATCGTCCTTAGCATCAGCGGCGGAGAAACAAAATCCATCAAAAATTCCATCGGCTGAAGCTTCCGCGGCTGCCTCCGCTTCCGCGCTTTCCGGAGAGCCCCCGACCCCGTTTCCGCCTGCGCCGCGGCCGTGGCCGGAGCAGTTCCACGCGGTGCTATTCCAGAACCGCAGCGGGCGGCTGGCGCTGACGGAGCTGTGGTACGACTGGCCGGGCGGACGCAACCTGAACGCCATCCGCCCGCAGCTGTCGGCGGGCACGCTCATGGACGTGGAGTGGAGCAACGGCACGAGGTGGGGGGGAGTGGGGGCCGGGGGAGAGGGGGTGTGGGATGTGGGGGGAAGGGCTGGATTGGGTGCGGAGATGAGGGCAATGGGGTGGGGAGGTGATTGGATGGAGCAGGGTGGTGAGCGACTGGGTTAAGGGTTGGGTGTGGTTGACGTTGAAGGGTCGGAAATGCGAGATTGGGCAGAGTGTGCAAAGGGAGCAGTAAAGCAACGCGTAGTGCGCTGGAGAGGGAGAGAAAGGAATGGTAGAGCAACATGGTCAATGGGATAACTTGCAGGTGCTCCAGGTGCGTCTACTCCTCGCCGCCCACTGATGTCTGTGCCACCGCTCGTTATCCTCTCGTCTTGTTTTCTCCCATTCGCTGTGCTGCCTCCTCTCAATTTATCGTCGTCACTCCCCGTCAGACCCATGCCGCACCCTACGCCCGCAGCTTCTACTACAACCTGCAGGAGCGGTCGTGCAAGGTGATCACGTTCCCTGTGGGCATCCTGCGGCCGGACTGGCTGGTGGGGGCGGTGCTGGTGAGGGAGGGTGAGGTGGTGGACGGCAAGTTCCGTTGCCGTGTGTGGACCAAGGCCGACTTCATTCTTTACTATGAGGACATGGAGGTGTTTTTTTCCTCCTTCTCTCCTCCTTCACTTGGTTCACTGCGTCAACGGTTCTGCCATTTGCCGGCCCTAGTTGCGTGCTGCATTCTTTTCCCAGCTGCAACGCTATTCTGCTGCTTTTGCAGCCGCTATTCAGCTTCCCTCACTGCATTTTCCGTTTTCTGGGTTTGCCTTGCATATTGGCTGGCAGACTGGTTTTCCAGTGAAGTGGATTTTTCTTGGAAGTGGAGGAATCTTTCATGTGCTCTCCTTCGAACCTGGCGCCACCTTGTTCGATGAACAATGGCAAGCACCAGCAATTTGCTTTCATTAAAGCCCGAGGTCAGCATGGTAATTTTTCAAGTTATGTGAGGTTGAAAACAAGAATTTCGAGAATCAGGTTGGGGCGAAAGTGAAATTTGGGGGCGACCAAAATGGTGCTCGTTATGCAACTCTGCGACAGCTGTTTCCGAATATGTGCCAAAGTGCGACTGAACACTGTGCTCGCCCCACACACCATTCTCGTGAACACAATCCCCTGATCCAGCTAGCGAGGACAGCACAAGAACATAAAGCCTACCTAGTGAAGCCACCTCACCACGCCTGCCCATGCACCTCCGAGTGGCTCAAGAAGTTGCGCCTCCCCTTCCCTCATCAAGCTCCTCCCTCGCCGCGCCGCGCTTCCCAATGTCGCGTTCCCCCGCCCATCGTCGCGCCACCCATCCTTTCGTCGCGCATCCTCTCGTGCCTCGCCTCCCATCGTTGCGCCTCCCCTCTCCGCGCATCCTGTCCCATCGTCACGCATCCCCTCGTTTCTGGGAACCTCCCCTTGTCGCGCCTCCGCTCGCCTCGCCGCGCCTCCGCTCGTTTCGCCGCTCCTCCCCTGCCATCAGTGCGCCAGAACCCTCGTCGCGCCTCCACTCCCGCTGCCCCTCTCCCACCTGCCCATCCCTTGCCCTCGCTTCCTTGCCCTTCCATTCCGTCTTGTTATCTTCCCCTATATTTTTCCCTCTGCTTCCCGTCATTCCTCTTCTGCTTCCCCTCATTTCCCCCTCTCTTTCCCCTCATTTACTCCCCTGCTTCCTCTCGTTCTCCCCTCTGCTTCCCCTGGCTTCCCCCCTGCTTCCCCTAATCCCCCCCCTGATTTCCCTAATTTTAACCTTCTGCTTCCCCTCATTTCCCCCTTTGATTCCCCTCATTTCCGCCTCCGCTTCCCATCATTCCCCCCTTTGCTTCCCCTCATTCCCCCCTTTGCTTCCCCTCATTTCCCCCCCTTCCCCTCATTCCCCCCTTTGCTTCCCCTCATTTTCCCTCCTTCCCCTCATTTCCTCTGCTGCTTCCCCTCATTTCCCTCCCTGCTTCACCTCTTTTCCCTCCCTGCTTCACCTCTTTTCCCTCCCTGCTTTCCCTGTTTGTACCTGCTTCCACTCATTTCTCCCCTGCTTCCACTCATTTCCCCCCTGCTTCCACTCATTTCCCCCCTGCTTCCACTCATTTCCCCCCTGCTTCCACTCATTTCCCCCCTGCTTCCACTCATTTCCCCCCCTGCTTCTCCCCAATTCCCCCTCTGCTTCCCAGGATTTCCCCCTCTGTTTGTCCTCGTTTCTCCCCCTGCTTCCCCTCGTTTCCCTCTCTTCTTCCCTTCGTTTCATCTTCCTATTTCCTGCTTTCCCTCTCCCCCTCTTCCTATCTCCCCTCTTCCCTATCCTCCCTCTTCCTACTGTATTTCCTTCTTTCCCTCTCACCCTCTTCCTATCTCCTCCTTTCCCTCACCCCCTCTCTTCCTATCCCCTTTCCCTCTCACATCGTCCTATCTCCCCCTTTCCCTTTCCCCCTGCTTCCCTCTTCCCCCTCTTCCCTGTCTCCCCGGTTTGACTATTGTTCTTGTTCCCCGTCCCTATCCTTCGTATTCTCTCCCTCTACCTGGCTATTGCAGTGACTACACTGAAGAATTTTCTGATGCAACTCGCTGAAGCCCATCATCCCATGCCACGCTCATGTTTTTTTCAAGGCCTTGAGAAAGGTACAATCAGAAGTAATAGGATCATGCCTCTATCCACCCTTGTGACACTCTTACGGTAGTGTCCATGCGTCTTGGAAGAACATCTTGCACTGCAGAAACAAAAGTACATATTGCAACAAAGTAATACAGTATCATGCTTGCATACAACACACAAGAAACAGGTGGTGGTACGGTGTAATGCATGGACTCGCTCAGAAAGAATTGTGTGAAGGAACATGGGGGAGGTGGTGTGAGGTGCAACTGCAGGGGAACACAAGCAACGGCACATGATGGAAGGGTTGAGAAGAGATGGAGAGAGAGAGAGAGAGAGAGAGAGAGAGAGAGAGAGAGAGAGAGAGAGAGAGAGAGAGAGAGAGAGAGAGAGAGAGAGAGAGAGAGAGAGAGAGAGAGAGAGAGAGAGAGAGAGAGAGAGAGAGAGAGAGAGAGAGAGAGAGAGAGAGAGGAGAGATGAGAGAGTGAGTGCAGGAGGAAGGAGAATGAGAGTGATGGGAGGAAACAGGAAGGGGATGGGGGGAAGCAGGGAAGGGGATGGGGGGAAGCAGGGAAGGGGATGGGGGGAAGCAGGGAAGGGGATGGGGGGAAGCAGGGAAGGGGATGGGGGGAAGCAGGGAAGGGGATGGGGGGAAGCAGGGAAGGGGATGGGGGGAAGCAGGGAAGGGGATGGGGGGAAGCAGGGAAGGGGATGGGGGGAAGCAGGGAAGGGGATGGGGGGAAGCAGGGAAGGGGATGGGGGGAAGCAGGGAAGGGGATGGGGGGAAGTGTTACGATCAGGGGTTTTTTTATCAGTGTAATTTTCTCTGTTTCTCTGAAAATCAGAGTGGTTTTTGGGGGGTCACTCTGTACCTGCTGGGTAATTTTTTCAAGAGTTACTTGTTCTCTGACCTGTCAGGGTTTTTGTGTAAGTTCACTCTGGAGCGCCAGTGTTTCTTTCCCGGATAGTGAGATTACTCTGTACGGGGGATACATGTACCCCCGAACCCCCACGTTCCCCCTTATCCCCGTGCTGCTGGTTTGGACCAAAGCGCAAGGGATATCACTCTTGTTTCGCTCGTGTGTTGGCACTACCTGAGGTTTTGATTGGCCGGAAAGGCATATTTCATGCCAGCGCACGCAGCTGGCCACCCACTAGATACATCGCTGGCTTTGCGTACTCCCACAGCAATGAACAACTCTCAACTTTCGGGTATGATACGGCAGCTTCCTTTGGTGCACAGATTTTGTGCGCGGCGCGCACATCCACACCTGTTGCTCGGCTGGCAGACGGGGTCACCACCAAACCCGTTCGTGTCCTCCCATTATGTCTGTTACCCTACACTGCTCTTCAACGTTCCAGGTAGCAAGTGTTTAGTGGGCTTCTCCAGCCACAGCCCCGCCTCCTGCAGCTTTGTTTTGCCATGAATACCATGGATACTAGTGACGCGGAGGGAGACGCGGCTGATACCGACGACAGGCCGTCATGTAGCACACCCCCTGCGACTGGGCTTCAGTTTCTGCGCGGTGGGCGTAATGTTTACGTTTGCGATGAAGAGGCGTTGGGGGATGGCGGTACCGAATGGATGAGTGACGCTACAGAGTCAGACGGTGTTGAGGAGTGGGTCGCCTCGCCGCGAGCAGAGGTTCCTGCAGAGCCGGCTGCGACGGTTGCAACGCAGGTTGTCGATGCAGCCACTCCTGAGTCGACCGGTTCAATCGCTCTGAAGAAGCGACGATTTACGCAGCAGGTTCTGCAGTGGGGAACACCGCCGCAGAAGCCTGTCGCTCCACCTCCCCGTCCTGCCCCACCCCCCATTCGTCCCCTTTCAGACGAGGAGAAGAAGGAGAAGGCGTACCTGAAGGCGCAGAAGAGCTACACGTCTGATTGGCTACCGAAGTTTGACTGGCTGATTCTGGACAGGACGCCAGAGGGTGACCCGTGTCTGCGATGCAGTGTCTGCATGGAGCATGGGAAGGACAACGCGCGTTACGGTCGCAATGGCGCTGGCGGACGTGATCTGCAGATCGGGTCGATGCGGTGGCACGAGAACAACGCGAAGCACGAGGACGCGTGAAATAAGCAGGCTAACCTTTTGCAGAAGATCACCGACCAAAAGAAGATTGAAGTCTTCGCGAAGGGTGATCCGGAAGGTTGTCGCGTCGCGATACTCATGCGAGCCATGCGATGGGTATGCCGTACCGACACACCCATTTACATGTACCCGCAGGTCGTTCAGCTTCTCGCCGAGGAGGGGGTCGAAAACATACCGCGTCAAATCTATGGAGTGTATATCACACCGTGAGTTGTTGTTGTCTCTATTGTATTTGAAGCAACCATTTCATTTTAACGATGCTACGTCGTTGTGCAATGTGTGTGCGCATGTACAGTTTCTCCGAGATGGCCAGGGCTCTCACCGTGTACCTGACCAGGGAACAATTGCGCCACCTCCACGCCTCGCCCTTCATCGGCCTCATGTGCGACGAGAGTACCGATCGCGCACGTGGCAAACACATGATTGTGTTTGTCACGTTCCTCAAGAACAGCGTGGTTGTAACCGAGTTTCTCGCGTTACTAACCGTCCAGCAATGTGATGCGGCAGCGCTAATGGGCCCACTGCTCCAGCATCTCGAGACGGTGGGCGTCGACTTGCAGAAGATTTCGGGAATGTCCACGGACGGCGCGGCAGTGATGATCGGGGGCACGTCCGGTCTTGTCACGCGACTGCGCGTCCACGTCCCCCACCTTGTCGGCTGCCACTGCATTGCGCATCGGTACGTGTGTCGTGGCTGTGAAACTGATTGACTGGTATTCCGTTTTTTCAACTTTATTGTTTTGTAACACTCTTATTCGTTGTTTCTTACTTCTGCTTGCAGCGTAGCACTAGCAGTGAAGGAGACCGCCGCTGCCGAGCAGTTCAAAGATTTCGGCATGGTGGACAAGGCCATCCGTGCAGTTGGCGAGATCGTGGGGAGATCCTCGCCCTGGTACGAGAGGTTCAAAGAGCTTCAACTCGTGATCCACAGCACCAACCTCGAGCACCAGGAAATGTTCGACGTGCGATAGCTCTCCCGTGCCGATGCTGTCAACCTGCTTGTCAAGATTCTGGGGTCGGCAATCGTGCTGTTCCTCGAGTACAAGCACAAGATCGCCGCGGTTGTGAAGGCCTTGAAATTTCACTTCTGTCTGTACTTCCTGGCAGACATTTTGGGGGAGTTGAACTCCCTGAATCGTTTCTTCCAACGACGCAAGGTAATTTGTGGCCAAGAGGCTTGTTGATACACATGTTTAATCGTCTTCATTCTTTTTTCTTAATTCACGGAATAACAAATCATTTTTTTCCGTGTGCCGGTCCGGCAGGTGGAGGTGACGCAAGTCACGGAGGAGGTCGACCGTGTGGTGACCCTCATCGACTACGAGGGTTCTTTCGGGGCGGGTCTGAGCACCCACTTGTCTCCATTCATGGCACGTGTCAAGAAAGGGGACAAGAAGGTGAAGGTGGAAGGTGTGGACGCTAGTGGCAGACCCGTCAAACACATCATCGAGCTCAGCGAGCTGCCGAACAAAAAACACAATTTCGGCGGGACCCTGGCAGATTGCACTAAGAGCAAGGCCTTCGCCCGTGAGGTCGTGTACAACCTCAAGCACCGCATGCGAGACCTTCGTCGAATGGGCGGCATGAAGCTTTTCAGGGTGGACAAGTGGCCATCGAACCCGGACATGCGTGTGAGACGTTGTGCCACATGGCTCTGTGAGAACTCGCAACTTTTCAACCACCAGCTGCCAGGTAATTGAACCTAATTTCAGTCGTGTTATTTTGCTTCTTTGAAATCATACCCTAAGTAAATGTCTAACGGAACTTTTCGCACTTATGAATCCCTGTGCGTACTGTGTTGGCAGGATTCGACCTGCGGGCAGCTGAACTTGAGCTGAAAACATTCTGTCACGTCATGAGGACGCACCACGAGGACGAGGACTTCTTTCAGGTGCTGACGAACATGCTGAGGTGACGCGACTGGCCGCGAACTTACCCCAACATCATGACCCTGTGGCAGGCGTTGGCCGTCCTGCCACTCAGCACCGTCGAATGCGAACGTGGTTTTTCACGCCAGGACATCATCAAGAGCTGGCAGCACACGACTCTCAACGACACGTGCCTCACCGAACTCATGAGCATCCACATGCTCGACTACAACGTGGAGTGGCCAGATGTCGTTGACATCTGGCGCAAGCAGAAGAAGAGGCGGCCTACGAAATCACCTGCACCTTTCCAACCAGCCAACAACAAGGGCAAGTCAGAGGCCGGTTCGGACGATGAACGCGAGGCTGACGTAGCAGACGATGAGTGAGCCGGTAGTAGGTCATTGTGTACATGCTATAGGAAACATAAATATTCAACATTTCTTGCAATGCAACAGCAATAACAAACAATGCGTACACATCAGGGTTAACTCTGACAGCTTGTGTTACACTGACAGCTAAGAGAAAGGCTCGCCAAACACTATGGATTTCAGTGTTATGCTAAAGACGACACTGGAAACCAGTGTATTCTAAAACGAAAAAAAAACCCCTGGTTACGATACGAAGTCTTATGAGAAGGCATTCCTGTATGCTGCAGGAGCCGACTCTACCGAGTACGAAGTCGAGGAGTCAGAAGAATCGAAGCGACACAGCAACCGCCTGATCGAGACCGATGCGGGAAGAAGCATTTGAAATGAAAAGAGCGGGAACAGGTTTGAAACTGACTCCCGCGCCGCACGGTTTGAATTTCGCTGCAATAAGGGAATGTATCCCTTAGAGTACATGGCTAGTCTAGGTCGTTTCGCATTCCTTTGTATTTCTACATGAACCCTATGTATGCATGCTATTATCAATCTCAGTCATTTACATTCACTCTGACCTGAGTTCAACACTTCCGCTGCAATACTACTTGCGATCAACCCTGAACGATCCTCTTCGCTAAAGTCCCACCTCAGATTGTAACATGGTATGAGAGCTGCTCAGGGATTCTTCGCAACGTCACTTCCGTAAAATTCGCCGAACCTAAATCTGGCGAGCGGCACACGCTCCAAGACCAAGATGGCCGGAGGATCTGGAGGCCAAGCAAATCAAACGGCCGAAGACACACCAACCCGGCTGCGACAAATGAGGCGACAACCACGATCGGCACTGCCGCCCTCGAGCAGTTATTCGCTCGACTGTCAACCATGGAGAAAGAACTCCAAGAACTGCGCAAAGGCGATGCGGGAACCACTTCCCAACCAGCTCAACCTGGACAACCGGCTGCAAAAAGCTGCGACATCGCCGCGCATGGCTTCTCCCTCGATTCAGACAAATCTGCAACAACTGCCCCTCGTCCAAGCGACGAAACAATCAACTCTGCGCAAGCACGCTTTCTCAGCGTTTCAAAAATTAAGACTACTGCCGCATTTGACGGCAAAGATTTCTACACATGGAGTTTTGAGCTTGAGCTCCTCCTACAGACAGCGCAGATCTACCACTACTTCGATGACTCCTATCCTAAACCGGCGGAAGACACAGAAGACGCCCGGGCTCAATACTACAGTGAGTCCCTCATGGCGTACAGCGTTCTGCTACGCAATATGACACCCGCAGAACAGCTCGGCATTCGCTCCTACAAAGAGAGCGCCGCTCCAGCTCTGGAAGCCTTGAAGCAATTTGTTGAGGTATATCAGCCAAAGGACTCCGTCACCGCAAGCAGACTACTGCAACAACTCATGGAGACCAAGATGGGGCACGGGGAGAAAGCAAACAGTTACATCAACCGTTGTCGGAACATCCGTGATCAAATCATGAAGAACGGAAGCTCTATTTCGGAGGTGATCTTCGTCAACATCATCCTCCAAGGACTTGGGCCTGAGTGGAAGCCCTGCAAAGCACTACTCCGACAACGAGGAACCATCTCTTAAGTCGCGCTATGCGCCGCACTGCTGACTGAACAGCAGGACATGGATTCGAGCAGAACAATCTCCACGCCACGACGAGAGCTCCTCGCCTTCTACGCAGACAACCGTGAAGAGCGACGACAACCCAGGCGCCACTATTGCAAAATATGCAAAGTCATCGGCCATTCAACGGATCGATGCAAATCCCGATCCAGTTATCGCCACCCGAATTCCACTCACCACAACAACTGGGTCGGCCGACAAGACGCTCGTCATTCTCAGCCTCAACAACACACCTCTCGTCCCCCTGCACAGTAACAACCACAGCAGGCACAAGGACCTCAAGGAGGAGCTACCAGAAACGTGATCGTGAACATGGCGACAAGATGCCGTCGCACGGCTGAACCAGACGAAGAAGATGAGATTCAAGGAGGGCTACTTCAACCAGAGGAAGGATACAATAATCCCCTCACGGAAAATCACTACTATGGGTACGACGAAGACGAGCAAGATTGGCATCTGCCGATCACACTGCGGGAAAGCCCGCCACACGACAACCAGCGCTACGTACCTGTAGGATGGAAGGAGGACGAAGACCCACGATTTCACAAGCGCTACAAAGCAACACTGGTAACTCCGCGACTCGCACTACTCCTACGCAACAACAACACCGACAACTACAACACCTGGTACCTGGACAGCTGCTGTGGACAGCACATGGTGGGGTCCGTCCGATACGTTTCGAACCTAAGCCGCGCCCCCGCAACCTACGTCACCGTCGCCAACAATCATCAGCCAGCTACGCGTCAACGCACAAGGCATCGTGGTCCTGCAAGCACGAGACAACAACATGAGCATCTCGTTCAACGACGTGCTCTACGTCCCAGACCTGCGCTTTAATCTTCTCTCGGCAGGACAACTTCGCGACTGCGGAGTCGTGCTCACTACGGACCTGGCCACACGCTCCTCACCCACGCCCCTCCGGACACACCTCCCGAGTCGCACAAATACCTTGGGCGGGCTCGGTCGATCAACGGCATCTACGTTCTGGACTTCGACATACCAAGCTGTCAGGCTTCGTCCGACGAGCTCGTGGATCTCGTCCACCTTGATTTCCCCTTCACGAACCAAGAGTCGTGGGAGCATCCTGACGGAAGACCGTGGATTCGCC